GAGACTACCTTAATATATAAATACATTCTTGCGTGAATATACATAATTTACATTAATTATGACCTCCTTTTTTTTACTTGGTTACTTAACAATCTACTATAAATATTTTCTCCTATTTTAGGTTTTTAATTTATAAGGGCAGCCTCAGGCAACCAACCTCTAAAGCTGGACGTTTATTGTTTCTCATGTTTTGTGTACTTGCCAATATTTGTAGGGTTGTTGGCCTCCCTGAAGCCACTTTATATCAAATAACCCTAAGTGAGGTGACCAGACAGACTGGAGTCTGTGGGACGGGCCACCTCCTCTGCCACGTGGCCTGAGGGATAGTCTCGAATCTCACCCTGGCTCTCGCAGAGCCCCACCCACATTCTCTGATTCCCTGGCTGCGTCTCCTTCCCGGGAGCTCCCACCTCCTCACCAGCTCCCTCTGACCCTGTCTGTCTTCCCTGCCCCAGGGAGTTTTCCATTTTTAAAATTATGGAACATTTCAGATGTATATTAAAATATAGAAGATGATACAACAAATGCCCAACTTCAGCAATATTGCTTCAACTGTACCTCAAACCACTTCTCCATATACTGCATTACTTTGAAGGAGGTCCCAGCTGTTGTCTTTCATTCATAAGTATTAGTGTAGGTCTCTATACAGTAAAGCCTCTTTTATCAACATAATGCTATTATCACTTCTAAACAATTAGCAGTAATTCCTTAATATCATTGAATACCTAGGAAGCATTTACATGTCCCTGGTTGTCTTATAAATGTTTGCTGGAATTAGGACACAGACAGAGTCTATATATGGCATTTGGTCAATGTTTCTATAGTGTCTTTTAATCAATAGCTCTCACCTGCCTTATATTCAACAACATGTTTGTATAGACATTGGCTCCTGTCCTGCAGAATTTTCCACAGATCTTTCCAATTTCCCTGGAACCTGCCAGTTACTCCCTTATGATGTCATGTTTCGGTTTCCTCTGTTCCTGTTCTGCCTGTCATCTGAGAGTTAGATCAAGGTTTAGAGGCTTGTTCTAACTGAAATTCTTCCTGTGTATTTTCACAGGTAACCTAGTAGCAATTATTGTATTAAGCTGTGATTTCATCAGGGCCTTGAAAAATTATCATATTCTAGTTTACCTTCCATCTTCGTCTTTGCTTATCAGAGAGACACTCCTTCATCCATCATTTGGTGGCTTGGACTAATTGGTACAGTTTATACAGCAGAGTCAGGCTAAGTTCCCAACCCTGGCCCACTTCTCCAGAGAATGAAGCTGCTCCCTGAGTCTTGCCAAGGGACTGTGGAACGTTGTTGAGCTATTATTTTTCTCAGCAGTGTTACGAACTCATGAGTTGAACACATTCGATATGTTTTCTACTCCTTGCGGTTTTCATCCCTACTGTTCCGTCATCTTTCCTAGTGGGAGCCTCCCAAAGTCACCTGCTTGGCTCTCATCACATGATTCCAGGAGTTTTTCACAGCCTGCTTGATTTTCTGGTGGGGCCAAAGTCCCAGACTCTTCTTACACATTTTCTGTTCTTTTTAATGAGAAATGGTATTTAGAGACAAAAATCTAGGTACAAAGGATGCTCGTTGCTATTGTGTTGATTATGGCTTCAGATCTTATCAGTTAAGTATTTTTTAGAAGAAAGTAATCAAGAGTTCCTACTGATATTCAAATAGCATGCATAACGTTTTACTTAATATTTCGGTTTTATATTTGCATCTCCTTTTTCTGACACTAAAAATCTTGCTTTGAGTGACATGAACGTACTTAACCAATTTCAGCTAATTCACCACATTGGCTTCTGATGAGCCCTGTTACAGGAAGGTTTTTAAGATTTCCCATTTATCTGTTATTCCTTGAGTTAGAGCGGGAGCTGACTATAAATCCTGCCCTTAGGTCAAATAACCTTGATGTTGTCACACTTCAATTGTCTTACACATCCCTCCTGAGCCACCCCTCCCCTCTGGAATATGAGCCCTGGGTCTGGGGAATAGTGGCACAGGGATCCACCATCCTGTCTTGTCACCACCCAAAACTCAGACATACCTTCTGTTTGTAAGTCCCTATTAAATATTTCTAAGAAAAAAAAACAAGGCCATACTTACCTATTTGCTCTATCTGTTATCTATCAATATTTCTAAGAACATTTTAAGATCTTATTTAACAGTTAATAATTTTGTGTTCAGATATATTCCCATTATGGATTAAATCAAATTACTTATTTGAAAAGCATTTGATGTAATTACCTTTTGTGAAATCATGCCACCTATACATTAAGTTCATTTGTTTCATTTTGCTCTCAGTTTTTAGGTGGTTTTTTAAATTTTTGATTTAATTTATAAAATACTGGAAGATATGTCATGGGTACAAGTCAAATCTACCCAAAAAGGGCTAAATCTAACCTTTCCTTATCCCGCCAGCCTGTTTTTTCTCTTCCCCACAATCATTTTCTAATTTATTCTATGGGTTTCTTTTAATATCAGCAAATCCATATAAATAGGCATTAATTTATTCTACGGTTTTCTTTTAATGTCAGCAAATCCATGTAAATAGCCTCTCCTTCTTCAGTGAATGGTTAACACACTGTACCCATGTTTCTTCTCCTTGTCCTGGGAATTACTTCCTGTGAGGATGGAGACATGGTCTTCATTCCTTTCTACAGCTGCAGGGCAAGGAGTTACCCAGCTTCTTGGTCATACACTCACCACCTCAGCCCCAAAATCCCAAGTTCTCAGTCATTGCAGACCTGCTGTTGCCTTCCAACCCAACCACGAGAGAGCCAAGGCAATCACAATAATGGCCAAATAACTTCGTTAGCCTGCTGCACCTACCCATGCTAAGCACTTGTATCATCCCATTTAATATTTGCAACAGTCATATGATGTAGATACCAAATGGAGGTTTGGCAAAATCAAGCCATATGTCCAAGGTCACACAGCTGGTGTGGGGTAGATCTGAGAGTGCAATGCTTAAGGCTCTGCAGCCAAAATTCGTGAACTGAGCAGCTCAGCTACAGACTCTGCTGGCTGTACCACCTGGAGTTTTGTGTGGCTCGGCCCAGCTGCACACAGAGAAGTGGAAATAGCTGGACATACCTGGCACGTGTGAGCCATATCCAAAGGCTCCTGGAAGGCCAGACCTCAGAGAACAACATGGCAGGATGGGAACCCACCTGAGCTGGGTGCCAGAACCCCCTGCAACCAGCCCAAGCCTCACCTGTGCCTAGTTCTGTGACCTTGGACCATGTATTCAACCTCTTAAGCCTCAGCTCTCTTGCCTGTAAACCACCTCAGAGATGTAGTAAGGAGAAAAGGAGGTTACAAATGAGAAAGCAGCTACAAGTGCCTGATCCACAGGAAGTGTTCAGAAAATAATTGTTGTGTCAAGTTAAGTAGGAAGCCACTCTTGAACAGCAGCTCCCAGGAAATCATCCACAGCAAGTGTGGAAGACAGAGTCGGTGCACCCTGTCCAGGAACAGGCGCTCTTTCTTCTCCAAGGGTAACCCCTGAACCAGCAGCATCAGTATCGCCTGAGGACTTATTAGAAATGCTCATGTCCAGGCCCCACAGAGGACCCACTGAGGCAGGAACTCTCAGGGAGGGCCCCAGCCATCGGTGCTTCCTCCTCTGGGGTACTTGAGAACCACTGCTCTGAGATAAACCCAAACTCTGAGGCTTTAATGGCAGGGAGAGAGGCAAGGCAGCAAGGACTCCCCCGTGGGGCAGTGCCCCACACTCATTCACTGCATGTGAGGTGAGCGGAAGAACATGAGGCAGGCAAAGTACGTGTCCTCTTGGAATTGCTTTTGGGAGAAGGGAGTATATACAGACAGAGCACAGTCCAGAAAGCAGGATGGTTTCTGTTAATTATCATGACCATGAGGAATAGAATGAGGGTGTGACAGAGGTCAGCTGGGGCCAAGGTGAAGATCTCCAGATGGGATAGCCGTGGAAAAGTCTCTCTGAGGAGGTGACACCTGAGCTGGGGCTTGAACGGTGAGAAGGAAGCAGCCATGTCGGGGCGGGGCAGAGTGCTCCAAGCAGAGGATCCGATAGACAGGTGCAAAGGCCATGGGGCAGGATGGAGCTCCATGCAGAGACGGGCAAGGAGCTTATGAGGCTGGAGCTGGTCCACCTCTGAGGCTAGAACAATCCTGCAGCAGCCGCAGTGCGTGTGGGGCAGGTAGACAATGGCCTTCCTCTCCCTGTTCCCTGTTCTCTTTACGGGAAAGAGAATGGCTGGCACCTGGGGTGCAGAGTAGCGACAGCAGGCTTGGGCTTTGCATTGCAGTCCTGCCTCCAGAGTCTCTCTCCCCTCAGCCAGGCTGCTCTGTACAGAATCCCCTCCTCTGCCTCTGCACTGGAGGGAAGCGCAACTTCCAGGAAGGCCCTGCTTCCACCAGCATGTTAGTGACATGGCACCACGGAAGTGAGTGATCTGAGGAGAATGGGAACCCTGACTTTGATGCCAGCTCTGCTGCCCAAGTACATAATTTGGGGTGAGGGGCTTCACCTCTTTGACTTCATTCTGCATGTGGAAATGGAGGTAAGAATGCCTCCTCCTAGAAGGGTTGTGAAGATCCAGTCCACGCTGTGCATGAGATCACTAACAGCACACAGCTTCTGGAAGGGCTTGGAAAATGGCAATACACACCATATTTTTCTTCATGCTCAGAAAGTCTCATTTTAAGGCCCAATATTTTAGAGGCAAGGGTGAAAGCAAATAGAAATAATACCAGTGATGTAGGAATACACTTGCAAAAGTTTCTGCTTTAAGTCTGAACTCAGGGCAATGGCGATGGAGAAATTGAAACTCCTTTACCACGAGCAGCTCAGCCCTGATCTCAAGTCGGGTCTGGCCTGATGGACATACCAGGCAATGAGGGTGAGGGTCCGTGACCAGGAGCAAAGCCCAGCACTGTCCAGTGGAAATACAGCCCATACCACTATGTTATTTCAAATACTCCAGAGTCACGTTCCAAAAGTAATGTGCGGAAGTAAATTTCAACAATGTATTCAATTAAACCCAGAATATCCAAAGCATTTTCATGTCAACATCAAGACTTTTGTCCTAAGGAAATCCAGTGTGCATTTTACACTCACAGGTCATCTTGATTCAGACCTGACAAGCAGTTTCAAGTACTCATTAACCACATAGGGTTGGTGGCCACTCAAGTGGACAAAGTGGCTCTAGGACAGAGGTCACAAACTGCCCATGAGCCAAATCCCTCTGCTGTCTGTTCTGGGACAGCCCAGTGAGCTAAGAAGGGTTTGTACACACTTCAATAATTGAGGGAAAAATGTCAAAATAAAAATATTTATAATACATTGAAACTATATGAAATTCAACTTTCTTCTTTTAAACTCTGAAACTGAAGTTTCATTTACTGTGTTGGCTACTCCCATTTGTTTAGAGTGTCTCTAATTGCTTTCGTGCTACCATGGCCTAGCTGAGCTCTTTTGACAAAGACCCACTGGCCTGCAAAGCTGAAAATATTTACCATCTTGTCTTTTGCAAAAAACTTTTGTCAACCTGTGCTCTAGGGAGCAGCTCCTCTTCACACTGGGTTTCCAGATCCCTCTGAGTGTGGAGAGGTGAGCCACTGCACCCAGATCCACCAGGAAGCCAACCTCCCATCTGCTTGCCATGGCTTTGTTGTGAGACTTGTTAGTACTTCAGTGAACTGAATTTTCTTCATTTCACAGCACAGGTTCTATTTCTTACGTCTAAGCCTTCCACTGTAAAGTCCTAAGCAAAGAATCCTGAAGGAAGCGCCTTGAGGAGAGTCCCCAGCCAGCGTGACCGTCAGTTGACTGTGACAGCTGCCATCCCAGCACCAGGCTGGTCAGATGGGGAGAAGAGCAACCCTGTAGAAGGGACCTTGGCAACCTGGGCTCTTTCAAGCTATGAGCTACAAACAGGGCCCTGCCCCCATAACTCCAGCCCTTCTGAGTTAGACATTAGCAGGCAACAACCCCACCAACCCAGTGCTCCTGCAAGAGGGGTCCTCCTGCTCAGACCCCTCGCCAGGCGGCCAGCCCAGCGGGGCCTGAGCCCCCGAAGCACCCTCCTCCAATGAGGCACCATCTCAGCATCAGCCCCGGAAACACACTCGTGCTGTGCTTACAGTGGGCACAGAATCCCCATAACAAATCACTAGTTAAGGAGGTGCCCTGCAGGCATTGCCTTCACTGCAGGGAGAGGCAAGATGAACAGATGGGTCAGAGAAGGCTCTGTCCTGCACTTGGGCTGGGAGAGTACTAGCTAGATAGATGGCCAGGCGAGCCCTTGTCTGCATCCTCTGTGCTGCTATTAGCTGTGGCATCCCGAGACCTCTGTAAGCCTCATTTTCCTCATCTGTAAAAAGGAAACACTAGGCCAGGCATGGTGGCTTATGCCTGTAATCCCAGCACTTTGGGAGGCTGAGGAAGGCAGATCATGAGCTCAAGTGATCGAGACCATCCTGGCCAACATGGTGAAATTCTGTCTCTACTAAAAGTACAAAAAATTATAGGTGACGCATGCCAATAATCCCAGCTACTCGGGAGGCTGAGGCAGGAGGATCACTTAAACCTAGCAGGCAGAGGTTGCAGTGAGCTGAGATCGCATCACTATATTCCAGCCTGATGACAGAGCAAGATTCCGTCTCAAGAAAACAACACAAAATAAAGCAAAACAAAAGAAAGGAAACATTAGCTGCCTTCATACAGAAAGACTGAGGATTTTGTGGAACAAAAGCACAGAAAGTGTTTTCCTGGCATATAGTGAGTGCTCAGGAAATATCAGTTCCCCATATCTCATCCTTCCCTAGCTCCCCGATGGACAGTGATTCATGGGGATGGGACAGAATAATGCAGGGACCTATGATCAGGAGTATGCAGGATGTAGGTTAATTGATGTGAGGACTTAGAACCATGTAGGGCACAAAGTAAGCATCCTATATGCGCTGGCTTGCACTTTCATTTTGCTTTTATTATCAAATAGGGAAATGCAACACCCTCCTGAAAAACATTATGGAAGTGACTCCTAAGGAAAGCTGGGTGATAGTGAAGAAATGTCTCCCAACAGGAAGTCACAGAACCAGGATACAAAGCTAGAAGAATCAGGTGAGTGGCTTCCTGTTATTTGCAGGGATGTGAACTTCAAATACCTAGAACCAGAAATTGGCCGGAAGGACCTATTGTGCACTACCCTTATTGCCAGCTTTTGAACATTTCTAATTAATACCAATGCGGAGCAGATTAAATTTGCTGCAAAATTAAGTTCGCAATTACCAGATGCAGCAAGGCCATAGCTAGACCTTCTCCTCCCCACTCTGTTGGGTGGCCGTGCTGCCCTCACAGCGTTCCAGAGGCCTTGCTGAGGGTTACAGCCAGTGAAGCCACTGCAAGAATGGGCCACCAGAGCATGCCGCCTGAGGACAGCTTTATTTATGCACTTTTAGAATGTACAAGTGGGCCTTGTTTTTCTGGACGGCTAGGGAACTCACTGGCTCACATAGCGTTCATGGTTCCACATTTAGAGTTGTGTCTTCATTCACATTCTTTCCATGCAGCTCACAGCTCCTGGACTGGACGAGAGTGGTCACTTTGCCTGGGCCAGTACCCCGGACAGATGCCAGCTCTGGGCCATGCAGACCCTGAGTGTTCTTGGTCTGGAGTTTGGGCTGAGTTCTGTGGCTGGGGCTGGTCTGCACCAGGGTGCCCACTGTAACTGGCACAGACATGGAGTCTATTACAAGGGGCAGGTAGGAGCACTTCCAGGAGAAATCAGATTCTGCAGGGGTCAGCCATGCTCAGGCTTGCTGGAACCTCCAGCCAAGCTCTGAGGGCTGCCTGCTCCCAGGACAGCCCTCAGATGGGTCAACTGGGTTTTATTATTCTCTCCAGACCCTTCCTGCTGACATCATTGACAAAGCTACCCGCCACTGTCTGGTCCCCAGAACATTCCCCAGCCATCCCACGGTGCTCTTTCCTCAATCGGCCACTTGAAGCAAACACCATTCGCTCCTGCCGCAGAGCAAAGCTTGCCGTTCCTAGGATCCTAAACAAGACATAAGGTCACGCTCTCCTCCTGTGAAGAATGAAACGTAAGCTGGGGAAGGAAGGTGCTGAGGAGGGGAGGAAAGCAAATTAGGAAGAGCAGGGGCCCTGTCAAAGCTTCCAGCTCATGTTACCCACGGCCCAAAGCAAACACCTCCATAAACTGAGATTTAGTAATGCAACATTTCCTAACATCTGGAACAAAATGATTTGGGTCAAACAGATGACATATGAACTGACTATAAATTTGTTTCAATGCAGGGGGGAGGAAATTAACAAATATATCAAATCCATATCTATTAGGTATTGTCATCTTCCATAAAGTTCTTCTGTTCAGGACACAAAGCAAGGCAATTTAAATTTTCTTTAAAGGAAAATAGTAAGTAAATGTTGATACAGATAGTTGAGGATGTCACAAAAATCATGGGGAAAAATAGCAAATAAATGACTAACACTTGGGAAGCTTTGCAATAGATGAGCATATTCATGTACATGAGCTCCCCTGACCCTGAATCCCACAGAGCACAGGCATTCTCTCCACTTTAGAGATGGGTAAACTGAGGCTCAGGAAGGGTAAGTATGTGACATGTCAACTGGCTAGGAAATAATGGAGCCAGGGCTCCAAATCCTGTGTACTTTTTAAAAATGTTGTTCACATCTCAACTTGATGATTTTTCTCTGCTCTGTTGGCGTGTGTTTGTTTTACAAACAGAGGAGGTAGGGAGATAGGTAGGTGGGTGGATAAAATCGAGAGGTTCACTTTGGACCTCCTTCAAAGCATCTATGAGTGCAGAGGAGCAAGTGGTCATCCCCACAGCAAGATTCTGAAGCTCTCACGGCAAAAGGCAAATCTGGAGGCTCCCAGGAGGAGGTGGGTCTGAATGCTCCTGCTGTTTGGGCACCTCGGTCTGCAGGGCATGGACTTGGTTTAGACAAAAGTGCATAGACCTGGGTCCCTGTGACTCTGGCTGCTAGCAGGTTCAAGGCTGGAGATAGTGCCAGGCCCTAACTTGGGGCCAGGACACAGGTTGCTGCCCTTGAAGAGCCCACAGGGGCAAAAGGGACAGTCTGCAAATAGACCCAAAGACACAGTGCACTGCAGACTAGCAGAGGCCTTGAGCATAGCACAGAGCAGGACACCCAGCAGGGACAGTCATCTCTGCTTTCTCAGGCCACAGGAAGGGAAGCATAAAAAAGGATCTTGGAAAGAAGTGGGGAGAAAAATAATCGCTCTTGCATTAAGTCCTGGGAGCAGGCAGACTATCCTAGGGCCAGCCTGGGAGAATAAGGAAGGCACCCTGGGAGCTGGCACAGTGCAAGCCAAGGAAAAACCAGTGGAAAAAGTCTGGGAGGTCTGAGGGCAGTTTGGGGAACAGGTGACCCCAGCCCAAGACAGAAAGCAGCCATTGGGAAGGCAGGGATGAGCCCACCTCAGGATTGCAGGGGGGCCAGCCCCTCCAGAGGTGGAGAGGGGAGCCCTAGCCTGGCAGAACGGGATTTGTCCACTGGTGCTTGCACCTTGCAAAAACTAGGTTTGCAAGCTCACCAAGTGGACACTTACCTTGCCTCTTCCCCGATTATTTCATATCCATCTGCAACTCTCACCCTGAGACCCAGCCTGGCCTTCCCCCAGCTGTATATTATTCTGCTCCAAAAGCACAGCAGAGGACAGCTCCTTACTCGAGGAATGCGGGCAGCGGTCGTCCAGAGCCGATGATGAAACGGGCTATTTCTGCCCCGGGACATCAGCAGGGCTCCAGGCGCTGGCTCCAAGGCACACACTCTCCTGTTTTTAATGTTTCCCTAAACAAATGTTTTCCTTCCCACCTTGGGATATTTTTATTTGACTCTAGGTGCTGGAACAGCTTTAGCAATCGTTCTGGATTCAAGTTGGAATCGTGGTTAGGGTCCGGCTAAGCAGCAAGCAATTTCTCACTCCCCAAGTGATCTGTTACTCGTGGCTGATCTGGATGTAAAAATAGCAGCTGAGGCTGTTTGTTTAATCTGACTGTTACTTGACACCACGCGGGTGTTGCAGTGCGGACTGTTTGCCTCTTCCCCACCAAGAACACCATTTGGTTTCCCCCGGCTGGGTCTCTATTTAGGTAAGCTTCACGGACTTCCCGTGTCTGGCCAGCTTCTGGTCACTGATCTTCCTCAGGTGGGTAGGTTTGTGAGCTGGAGAAGGCTTGGGTCCTGAGTTCACTCTCCTGTCACCTTTGGGCAGCCTGGCTAAAGAGGAAAGAAGAAGTCTTGGCTGCTGGGCAGAGCCGGGGTTCTCTCCCATTCCCGAGGAGGCCTGAGCAGCTGGACAAGCAGAGAGCGGAAGGTACAGCCCAGACACTTGTCTGGCTCCTTAGCGTGGGCAGGGAGGCTCAAGCTCATGGCAGAAGGGACATTCCCGCTGGGCCGCTGCTGTGCTGGGGATGTAGTTTGGTGCCAGGGTGCTGTGCAGGGTGGTGTGTGTGTGCCGGGAGCCCACAGGTGCTGGGGCTGAGGTTCTCTGTGTGCTGGAAGGGCCTTGGGGACAGTGTACCAGGAGCTGTATATATGCGTGGCTTTGTCCTTAGGTGTCATCTGTTAGGGCTCTCTGCTCCCACATGGCTAAGTGAGTGCACAGATGTGCCCAGGCCACAGTGTTGTCAAATGGGGGCCCCCCGTGGTCCCAAGTTATCAGCAATCAGAGCTGAGGGAGGCTGGCTCTCTTGGCTCCCCCCAGCACTGGGCCAGGCAGGGTCACACCAGCTGTAACAAAGAGGAAAACTGGTGACTGCAACGCTCTGGCCTGTGGACTCTGTGAGCATGTGCATCCCCAAAACAAAGCCCTCCACAGGCTGCCTGCTCTTCCACACCCTGGGAGGCCCCACCAGACTCTCACAGGGTAGGCTTGGCTGAGTCTGAAACTACCTCTTTAATTTTCTAGTGGAGAAGAATTGATCATTGAGTAAGGCAGTGGTCAATGTGTGTGGAAAGCTAGATAGCCTTAAGAAGAATCATTGTGTAGGCCTTCCGCGTAGCTCCATAAGTATAGGAACCTGGGGAGATTAAACAGATGTGTGTGGTAAGTGAGGTCCTGTTTTCCAGCATTTGAGTTCCCTTTACACTAGTGGCTAGTAACTATGGTGTGTGGTCTGAGCACCTGGTTTTGTAAATAAAGTTTTATTGGCACACAGACATGCTCATTCATTTGCATATTGTCTAAGGCTGCTTCTATACTCTATCAGCAGAGGCCATATGGCCTGCAAAACTGAAAACATTTACAATATGGCCCTTTGCAGAAAAAGTTCGCTGACCACTGTGTTACAAGAACACTTCTTGAAATGGGTCAATTTAATACAAAAAAAAAAAAAAAACAGTGAAAGTTCTTGCTGTCAGAATAGCTTGTAAGTCAGACCCTTCCAATGGCTGGCTGGCTCCTGAGCCTCCTGCACCTTCCCAGGCCTACTTTTCAGGCCTGGCTGGTACAGGAAATGTCCAGTTTGCTGTCATGGTGCTGGGAGGGTTAGCTTAGCAGTGGAATCACCAGACACACAGCATGCCCATGTGGCCTGGGCCGAGCAGGGCAGATTGTGCTTATCGGGGTGGTTTATAAATAGCCTTCTCTGGGTGACTCAAGTCCAACACACATCTGCCCCTGGGTCTCTGGGATGGGAATGAGTTTGTCTGCTCTTGGATGACCAGAAGCTCATTGGGAAGGCAGCAACTGTGTGCAGTGAGGAGAAAGGGGGCTGGCGGAATGCTGTGTACTGGAACAGAGGGGTTTAGGTCTCCTGGAACCTGGGGAGTGAGAGGTGTTGAGAGTAGAAAAGGCCAGAGACGGGCTTGCATCCTCCCACCTTGATGCCTTTTTGCCAGGACAGAAATAAGTGTCTTTCCTGACCTAAGGAAGCCCTGGAGACCCCTACTGAAGAGGGGAAGACCCATGTCTTGAAATAGCCCTATTCTTCCAGTCTCTGCCAGAAATCTCAGTAACCCAAGCCTGCTGGTGGGAACAGGGCTGGTCCGTCTTTTTCATTGCCTCTTGGGATTTCATTCCATATGCCCCTAGGTTACTGGAGGGAAGCAAAGGGCTTCGAGAGAAGGCCACACTGCAGGGACACATGGGGCTGCTGCTCCCCAACAGGGCCTGGGCCCATCAAGGCTGGAGTGGGTTTTGGTTTTATTTCCACTTGAGGGTTTAAACCTCATTTCAAAAAATCCATCCAGTCCATAGTCCTTAACTCAATCGTATGCTTCATTTAGTTAATTGGAAAAACCTCAGACACCCCCTCATTTTTACTTGGTTTCCAAGGGTTGTGTGGCATGAGCTGGTGGATGGGACAAAGTGGGAAGGACAAGGGATCCATGGAGGCCTATCAGGACCCAAACCTGGAGCATGCAGAGCACATGCTGATGCTCAGATATGTCACCCCCAATGTAAGTCATCAGTATCACTCTGGAATATTTCCTGGAAGGGGCTGCCTGTGGGAAGAATACAGTGTGATTAATCCACAGCCTCCTAATGTCAAGGGGAGGCAGAGTGGATGCTCAGCTGACCTGAGTTCTCAGGGGAAAGACTGAAGCCAGCTCAGTGAAAAGTGCATTACCTTCCAAGCCCGCATCAGACGGCCTAGGGTAATTCTGACAGCAAGAAAATTCCAACAACCGATCAACCATGAATAGCTTCCTCCCCAGACCTAGAGACCTTCCTGTCTTAGATGAAGGGAAAGGGATGTTCTTCTGGGCCATGACACGTGGCAGACAGGCAGGCCTTCCTCTCATCCTCCATTCTCTGCTTGACCAATCCCAGGGGCTCCTTTGGGCCACCCCACTCTGGTCTGTCTTTCCTTGCCTCAGTTGATCACCTCTTTCACTAAGAGCCCCCTTCCCAAGTGGACTTGAGCTGCTAAGGGGCTGCAAGCCTGGCTGAAGGGAAGGATTTCATCTGGGATATTTTCCATTTCAAAGCCTTCACCTGAAGCTTGAGGAAGGCGGGGAAAAGGGAGGCTCTTCGGTTTGCTTGGGAAGCCTCTGAAGGAGTTTCCGAGGCTCTCTCCCTACTCCCCACTGTGTTTGGATGCTGGTTCTAGGCCTGGCACCATTGAGCCTGCCTGCAAGGGCCAGGTCACGCCAGGTCACATTGGAGCTGCCCCTTGGCTTGCCCTGTCCCGGACTGCCAGGCCATAGTAGCTCCACCAGCTCATCCTCTTACCTGGCCCTGTCTGCCACCCTCAGAGGCAGATCAGCCCGAAGACTGCAGAGGTCAAATAGTCCAAGCTCAAGCCACCTGGGCCACACCCACCAGATGAGAACATTTCTTGCCCTCAGTTTCCCCACCATTTCCCCTGTGGAAATCATTGCCTGCGGACCTCCCATGTGCAAAGCTTTGGAGTGTCTGGTCTCATTCTCAATCATCCAGCATGGTGGGTCTTGTGAACCCTCTCATGGAGGCAGGCGTGGCAGCTTGGAGAGATTGAGTAATTTGCCCAAGGATGCACAGTGAATGAGGGGCTTGAGATCTGAATGCAACACCCATGTCTTGTCCTCACTGCCTACTGATACCTACAGCTCTCTTCACCACCCAACAGAATCCCTAGAAAGGAGGCCATCCCATCACCAAAGAGTCAAAACCTTTCTTAGGAAAAAGAAACCTTCCTTAGGAAAGCCGAGCATGCCTAGAGAGGCACACAGGCTTCACCCCAGCTCCTCGGGACCTCAGGAAGTTGCCCAGGGTGCTGCAGGGATTCCACACTGCACTGGGAAGCCTATGGCTCTGCAGGGGACACAGGACAGGCAAATCTGGGTTCACAGGTCAGCTCTTCCACTTCTCAGCAAGCCCCCTGGACCTCAGCTTTCTTCTCTGTAAAATAGGAATAACAGCTCCCACATTGAACGGTCCTGCAAGCATTAACTGAGCAAATGTATGAAAAGTTCCAGGCACGTGGTAGAAATGCAAGTACTGCCCTCCTCACTCTGCTGTCCTACTTGGAGATTTTTTTCCTCTCACTTAAACTCCAGCTTGGGCCTGTACCTTCCAGAGGTCAAGGAGAAAGTCCGATGCCTCAGGGTTCAGCTGGTTCATGCTCACAACTCAGCAGGAGAGCAGCTGGCACCATGCAGGATGGACCCCAGCCCCATGGTGACCACGCATGGTGATCACTGCCCCTCTTACACAGAAAAGGTCATGGATCTGAGCACCTTCCACATGTAGAGTGGGTGGAAGGCCAAGCCCAAGTGTGGACATGATGTTCCTGGCTCAGGACAAGGGCAGACACAGTACAAACCACAGCCATTGACAAGCACCAGACCCAAGTGGCCCAAGAGACTATGACTTGTCACTACAACCTCCCTGAAGCAGAGGCAACCTCCCGTCACTCCCGATCAGCTTTCTCCAGGTGTGGTCTCATGGCCAGCAGACCTCCCGAGTCCTGAGCGGGACCACGCGCTGTCTGCTTAGCCAGCCCCCAGGGCATTCTGAAATGCATGAGGATGCTGCCTTAGGAAGGGAAAGGGGGGCAAGGGGCAGGCACTGTTCTCAAACACAACAAGAGGTGCTCCAAGGAGCCAAGTTTTTCCCACCAGCACAGCTATAGGCTGAAATAAACATGGTTGTTAGAGGAGCATGTTTCGGCTTTAAGTTTGGAAGGGAGAACTGGGCTGGCCACACAGAATGCCTTTCTTTGCCACGAGGAAGTCCGTGAAGCAGTTGGTCTTGGTCAGCTCCTCACACTGCACTACAGGAGCCCATTCTCGCCTTTCCTTCCCCTGGCTGAGCCACCTCATCACTGCTGTGCTGGTTGGAGAAAGGATAGTGGTCATCTACCACCTACTTTCCAGCCTCCCGCAGGGACATGAGGAGAAGGCCAGGCACAGCTTCAGACCTATGAGGGAGGCTTAGGAATTGCCAGGGGTGCTCTGTGTGAGGTCCTCTTCTCCTTATCCCAGATGCAGACCGCTTCATGGCTTCCAGGGCAGGAAAGATAACCTCTGCAGGAGAGCCAGGTCCTACACATGCCTCCTCTAGCTACTAAAGCCAGTGCTCCCTGGTGGAACAAGAAGCAGAGGGAGATAGGTGAGCAGTGCTAGGAGAAAGGTTGCTACCCTGTCCTCACCCTGCATGAACCTGGTGGCAGATAGAAGACCATCTCATCTCTTGTCTCTCTGCCCTCACTGCATTCTGCAGAGACCTGGCCCTGAATCCTGGCTCTGCTGCTCTCTGGCTGTGTGACCTTAAGCAAGTTCCTCAACCTCTCTGACCCTCAATTACCTAAAATTTCTTTGGTGTCAGCCCTCCTGAATTTGCCAGTTGTTGCGCCCATTGGGTGAGGCCATGGATATAGAAGGTGAGACAGGTGGCAGGAGCTCCATCAACAGAATGGGTGTCTGAGACTGCTGGGGTGCTAACACTCGGTGACAGCTTCTCCAGCTCTGCTTCTCTGCCTGTGTCACGCAGCCTCATGGCACCAGTTTACATATGAGGAACCTGGTATATAGATGTTGCCATGGACTCTGTAGAATCCCTGCCCTCCCATGGTTCTCAGGAGTCCTGCCTGAACCTCCTCTCTCTGCCAAGCCTGGCACCCTTCAGGGCTGCTTTCAGGGGGCTCCCCTCCCCGTACAGCCTGGCTCTTTCCCCAGGGGCTGGAGAGAGGATGGTTCCTGAGGAGATACCCCCATCCCAACAAAAACAAATGCCTCTTCCTCCAGGAGCTGGGCTTCTGTCTAGACAAGGCTCTCCAAGGTGGAATCTGGTCATAAGTTACAGTTATTCCTTCATCACCAGATCCTGATCCACAAGCCTCAGGCTGCTGGGTCTGCCTTTCCGTTTAACCCAAAGTCACCAAAGCAAGACTGAGGCTCACACAAGTTGAGTGGCAAGTCCAAAATCTGTCTGATTCTGAAGCTCTTAACTGGAGAGCTGTGTGCCCCACTAGGTTTCAAGGTCTTTGCACCCCATGCTGTGAAATCCCAGGTGTGATGGGGTATGGGAATAGAAGGACATCCTATGACCACAGGTCTCAAGATGAGCTTGAAGGAGGCCTGAGGGTGAGAAACAGGAGTATGGAAAACTGCACAGTAGCCAGGGGCAGGTTGGTCGGCAAAGGCACAGCATGGTGCTGAGCAGAGACTCTTAACCTGTGGCTGGGATTCCAGAAGCTGCTAGAGGAGGCTCTCTAAAGACAGATGAATGGGACCACCACTTCTCTAGGAGCCCTGGGTTCCTGCCCCACACCAATGTATTAAATTCTGCCCTACACATATTTCTCCTCTGTAAGGAACAAGAGTAACTCCTGTGTCATGAGGCTATTGTGAATATTGATTAAATAATAAATATTAATTAATAATACTAGGTTATAAAGTACCTTTATACCAGGTACTCAGTCCCCATTCAGTGGATAAGAGAAATTTCTCTCATCCACTCATTCATTCACTTGCTTAGCAAATAAATGGCCCCATGCAAGGCACAGGCACTCTGTGGGGACTGGAGACATAGCCTAAAGCAGAAAGGCAAGGCCAGGACCATGGACCTGCCACCAGGGGGTGGGGGGTCTCCTCCCCTCCCCAGGTGAACCTGGTTAGTCACTGTGTTTGGGCCTTGGGTCTCCAATTCTCCATCCAGATGAAAATCTGGCATTACCATAAACAGGGCAACCATAAGTTGAACCTAATTAAGGTATGCCTAAAATTTCTGGTCTTAGAGAGTTTGTGTTTTTTTTTTAATCACTGTAGATCATAAGTCATCATTAAGTCCTGAAGTCACTTAGTAAGTTGGGAAGAGGTTTTTTTAAAATGAAATACTAGAATAGATTAGATTAGGATGGAGCAGTACATATAAGAAGGGTAAGCTTTGCTTTGTCAAGTTTCCCTTAATACATATGTGTCCAAGCATGTTCTGTGCCATAATGTAAATGCATTTCTCACCACATGTAGAAGAAAAACCTCTGCTCTGCAGAGACACAGGGTGTGCATGTCATTCACTCGCTCCCCAGCAACCTGAGAGGTGAGGTGCAGGGCTGCAGTGGCCAGGGCTTTCTGAACCTTCTTCTGGTTCAGACATCCTTCCTGCTGTGGTGGGGACCCAGAAACTTGTGGGTTGGCTGGCTCCAACATCGAGAGACTCCCAAGCAGTGCCTGCTGTGGGGACCAATTACATGAAAATTCCTGTGTCCAGCATGGGGAGCAACCTTGGGGGCGGCAGTGCCGGAGGCAAGCACAGCCAGGCTGGTTTTATTATCCCTATTTTCCAGGTGTAGCAGTTAATGACACCCATGATGACAAACTTTAGAACTGGGTCTCAGCTCTTTCCACTGCCAGCACTGCCTATTTGATGACTCTGTCATGTCAGGTCCTGCCATTTCCAGAATCCAGGGCAAGATGTTCCTGGGAAATGTGGAGGGGAAGAGCAAGTGAATACATGAATGAGTGAAGGCAGGAAGGACAGCCTGGTGCTGGCCAGTGCTCCCTCCCTGATTCTCTAACAGTGGTTCTTAGCCAGAGGTGATTTTGCTCTGAGCCTTGGGCAGTGCCGATGATGTGAGGGCTGAGAAAGTCTGTTGGGAGCACCTGTGCCAGGTCATGGCATGGGGTCCACTTGCAGATGAGAAAGCCCAGGCTCTCACATTCCATGTATCTCTTAGGGCTGCTCTGTACCCTTCAGCCATGGTTGCTGAGTGGTTTCTTCAGCCACTACCCCTGGGGCATACTGGACTTCTACCTGCTGCAGGATTTAGAGGCCCCTACATGTGTAATGTGGTTTGTGGAAGATTCAGAGTCCCACCAGGCCAACACTGCCATCATGGCACCCAACCACATCCTGTTCCTAGGACTGGACAAAGCCAACCTTGTTCTCTCCCAGGGCACAGGATCTCAGGATCAGTTTGGGAGCCTTTGGCTTTCCCAGTCTAGAACCTAGTACAACTCGGCAACCATGGCTGAAGGGTAAAGAGCAGCACTAAGACCTGCACCCAGATCCCAGGGGGACCCACAATTTGCATGGCCCCTGTACTCCTGAAAGAACTGTGTGTCCCTCCTCCAGCAACTGCCCCGGCTGGCCTGGCAGTGGGGGTGGCCTTGCAGCTTGGGTTGGGTCTAACAAGGAGGTGCAAGGATCAGAAGGCTAAGCAGCAGAGCCATGGCTGCCAGGCTGACCCTGCTTTCTCCCAAAATCTCTGCCCTTCAGGCAATTCCTCTCCTGGGCAGTGGAGTGGGACTGGCACTCACTCAGCCCTGAGAGAGTGAAAGACAGGGTGAACAGAGTTGTCTTGGATCACATGCTCTCCCTTCCAGATCTTTCCTGCTCCTACTTTTACCTGTGATGCCCACATGGCTGCTCCTATAAAACACCTCTGAGCTCATGAAGAGAAGCCAAGGGCCCTTTGCTCAGGTAGCATCTGGCCACTGAGGCTGGGCCCCTCGAGGTCTGCAGAGAACAACTGAGAGTATGGTGGAGAAGCTGGCAGTGCCAAGCCTGAGCTCTTTCCTGGTGGAAGGGACTGTCTGGAGACTGTGTCTGGCTAAGTCCAGCCCATCTGGCCACCAGGAGCTCCAAGGTGTGATCCTCCATAATGCTCCACCTCTAGAAGTGGTCAGAAACTGTGCGAGGAGGTGCTGCTGACAACTCACAGTTAGCCTTTGTGGAGTGAGACACTACCCCAGTCTAAGCAGTACAAGCCCCACAGCCTGCTGGGATTCAGAGGCATGCCATAGCCCCCTGAACCCTGCAAGGCCCACTGGGCACACCTTGTCCCACCTCTGCCTGGGATGTTAGGTCAACAGCAAGAAATCAGCCAGTGCTACAAATCCAGCACTTTTTGCCCCAGAGAGCTGGTTATTAAACAGTGCTCGGTTTGCCGTGGTCATCAGGGAACAGGAACCAGGAGGGGACAGGTTGTGGGAGACTGCTTGAACTCAACCAATTCTCCCCCTCTCTTCTTTATCCTATGAAGTCTCATTTCTCCTGCCACAAGCATCCTTCCCTGGGTCTGTGATGCCAGGTGTTCGGCACCCTCACATCCTGGGTTAGACTAGGCCCAGTCTTCCCTGTGCCAGGTTCCTTGGCCTCTAGCTGCAGGCACAGCCCTGGGTCTGAGCAGCACTTGGAAGCTTTTGGTGAATGACCTATCCAGACATGGCAGACTGGCTACCCAGACCAGAAGTCAGCTTCAGGCTGGGCTGAGCCCACAGAGAAAGCATCGCTCCTTCACTCTCTCCCCAGAGGGCAGCAGCCCCTGCTACCACCTGCTCACATCCAGTTCTGTGGGTCTGGCAAGCCCAAGCAAGCTGGTTTCTTCAACCCCTGGGGCATACTGGACTTCTACCTGTGGCAGAATTTAGAAGCCCCTACATGTGTAATGTAGTTTGTGGAAGATTCAGACTCCCACTAGGCCAACACCGCCATCATGGCACCCAACCACATCCTGTTCCTAGGGCTGGACAAAGCCAACCTTGTTCTCTCCCAGGGCACAGGGTCTCAGGATCAGTTTGGGAGCCTTTGGCTTTCCCAGTCTAGAACCTGAGTTTGGGTCCAGTCAAGCCAGGCCAGGCTGCAGGCTGACACCCCTCTCCCATGTGCCAAATATCAGGCTAGTGGAGCCCAAATGTCCAGACCAGGTGTACAGCAACCTTTATGCAAATCAAAGTTCTGCTTTACATGCATAAGAGGCGCTGCCCAGTGGAAGCCAGTCTAAGGCCATCAGAGGTAAAGGCACTTTTACAAAGCAACACCCTCCCAGGATCCATCCAGTTCTGGAGCAAAGGGCCCCGGTCAGCCCTGCACGTGGCTGTATCTCCAGCACCAAAACAGGTAACAAGTCACGCTTATGAGATCCTATGCTTTCTTCTTATGAACTTATAATTTCTGATTTCCAAAAGTCAAAAGAGGTTACAAAGACACAGCAAGCCCCACATGGAAGGAGCTGAGGAGGCATAATTCTGGCGCCAGAGAGCAGGGCACTGAGGCAGAGGACTGGGTGAGGCCCCGCCCAGCACTCCCAGGCCTTAAGCAAGGGACCAGCGGTTGACCCAGCCAGTTACAGCTCAGTTTCGTCAGATGTAAGATGGTGAGGGGAGCCTATCATGCCAAGTGTTACTGAGGATACGTGAGCACAGGCAGGTGCAGAGGTTAACCTGCTGCTTCACAGATACTCAACACATGTCAACTGTCCTCACCTGGAGGACCTCAACTGAGGAAGTCAATTTGCTGTTTCATTGTTGGCTGCTATGGGCTGAATGTGTATGCTCCAAAATTCATTGGGATTAACCCAGTGAATGATATTAGGATGTGGGGCCTATGGGAAGCAATTCGGTCATGAGGGTGGGGTCCTTTATGATGGGATTAGTGCCCTTATAAGAAGAGACATGAGAGGGCTTGCTTATACATGTGCACTCTCGCTCTCTTTCTCTGCCACATGAGGATACAACAAGAAACTGTCCATTTACAATCCAGGAAGAGGACCCTCACCAGACACCATATCTGCCAGTTCCTTGTTCTTGGACTTCCCAGCCTCCATAACTGTAAGGAGTAAATGTTGATTTTAAGCCTCCCAGCCTACAATATTTCAGTTCAAGCTAAGACATTCTCCTCATAATGCAGAGAACATAGATAAGTACATTCCTCTCTAAAGCAAGAGGGCTGTTAGAATTGCACAGAGAGGTCAATTGCCTTGGCCAAAAACTGACCAGCAAAGCACAGGTCCAGAGCAAGGCACCCTGTGGTGTGGGGTGGTGGAGGCTGTGTGTGCTGTGCATCTGTGGGTGGAGGACCATCTGTGAGCAGGACTCCAGACTGTGCACAGACAGGGAGGAGTTGTCACACTTCACTCCACTGAACTGCTCCTCAGACAGGCCTGAGTCAATGATTCAGAAAACCAACCCAGAAAGAAGAATAAGAGGAATCAATTCCAATTTGTTAGAGCCTTCTGGGTGTGATAAAGCCAACCCCTGCCATCTCCACTGTCTTCCTGTTTCCCCTTCTCTAAGAATTGAAAGCACCATTCAATTAAGGTAATTAAATTCACCCGAAGATCTTGGGCTCAAAACCACACTACCGGCAAGTGGTCAAACACAGCAACAAAGCAAACCCCAATGGCTTCCTGTGGAAAGATGGGCAGGGACAAGGAGGAAAATGGAACGCATCTTCAGCAGCTCAGAAGCACAACCTGGGCCTGCAGGGGAGCCCCCAGCTCTGCAGAGCCTAGCTGTCTGAGCCTCCAGCAGCACCAGAGCCCTCCTCAAACAGGAAGGACTCCATGTTTATGGGCTGAATCAAAAGTTTCACTTCTATGGATGTCTGGGAGAACTGAGCTGAGAAGATCCTTAGGACATGACATGAAAGTGAAATGAAACCCTCCTTTTCTTCCCCAGAGCCACCAATTCTCCCATGAACTCCAGCCCATGAGCCATAAGCAGGGCTGGCGACACCTCCCAGGACATGCCTACGGGAGCCTGAGTCCACAGGCCACAGATTAGGGGTTTCATCCTGGAGTAAGCACAAGGTGGTAAGGTGGTGAGTCCAGGCTCTCACCCGCAGTTCTTCCCTGTCTTTACATGCTGTGTGGCACTGAGCAACATCCTGCACCTCTCTGCGCCTTCATTTCTCAACCCAAAAGACAGTGACAAGGCCCACTCAGCTTGCCTCAGAGGAGTTATGAGAACCAAACAGGAGCGTAGATGCTGACGCTTGTTATGAACTACAGGGTGATGCATATACATGAACCGTGACTCTCACTGTGTCATCCCAGTATTGACTCACCGCATTGGCTTCCTCTGATTGTGATCCTCTTTGAGTGCTAAAAGTCGGTGCCACCCTCGGGTTGCCAGATTTAAAAGAAGAAAAAGAAGAAGTCGTCCAGTGGAATTTGAATTTCAGATAATGAATAATTTTTTTAGTATGAGTGTATCCCACATATTGCATGGGATACACTTACACTAAAAGAGCATTTATTGTTTATTTGAAATTCACTTTTCACTAGGTGTTCTGCATTTTTAATTTGCTCAGTCTAGCAGCCTGGCCATGCCAGACCACCTGTGCAGTGTCTCCAGGACCGCCGAGACCCAGCCCCAAGCCTACTTTGTCACTCACCAGCTGTGAGACGTGGAATATCCGGGTCCTCCCTCTAAGGGTGCTTTGTCTCACCTCATGGGTGATTGTGGTCCCGGATCTGGGCGTTCCAGGGTCACCAAATGGGGCTCTGGCCCTATGGACCTGACGCGCTCCTCAGCTATGTGGGACGGGCACCTGTAATAGGGCCTGGCATGTAGGGATGATGAGTCTCCTTTGCACTTCCTATCCTTACAGACTGGGACACATGAGGGTCTGGGGCAGATCAGCAAAAGCTGGACTGCATGACTTTCTCAGGCTTGGGCTGACTGCCAGCTGGGAGCCCAGAGGAAGACAAGGAGAACATGGACCTCTGTCCCTCTGCACACCACAATAAACCTCGGTCATCACATCCGAGGGTCCAAGAATTGCACTCAGCAACCAGCACTGAAAACACTGCCCAGTGATCAGAGTGCACCAAGCGCTCTGCAGGCAAAAGATGAACCAAGACAGGGACCTCACACCAAGGATCTCAAAGTCTAGTAGGAGAGATAGATTCACTGCTATGAAAGAAGAATAAAGCAATGTAAGTGATAAAAAGAGAAGAAAAGATTCTACAAGGAACAGAACAGATGAGGAAGTTGTCAGCAGCTGTGGTTGAGGACAGAGAGAGACATTCCAGGCAGAGGGACTGCTACTTGAGGGATCCAGTCCAGGACACTTGGGTCCTGTGGGAGCAGGCAGAGCTCCCCTGCCAAGAGGGCCTTGAGGGTCATGCATAGGCATTTGTAAGGGATTAGGAGGGAGAGAGAATTGCATCCGCAAAAAGCAGCACATCCAGTCAATATTAACAGCAACATGAGGCATGGCATGGAAACAAAAGCATCATGTGAGAAAACATTTCAGAAGAGTTAGAATTTAGCAATGACTGTGCAAAGGTTATTTCGGTGCTCATCTCAAGGAAAAGCTGATTCATGGTGATCCATGCTCAGATTGAGTGTGTTTGATGTATTCTGTTTCAAAAGATGACCCTACAATTAGGAGAAGACAATACACATCCTTGAGTGTAATTCTCCAGGCTCCAAGGCTACAGGGGACTCCCAATTCGCCTGTGCACATAATCACAGTGGGCATGGCAGACCCTTCGCTGTTCTGCAGGTGCTCAACTGGAAGGTCCATTTTTAAATTCTTGCCAGAAGATCCTGTTTCCCCTGGTGTGCTCCGGTGTTTTGCAGAACCTTCTCCACCTGCTGCTAGTTTGGCCCGGGTCAGCAGAGGAAGTGCTGGAGGTTTGCAGAACAGGATGCCATTGAGTCCTGCAGAGTTACTAGAGGTACAGAGCAACACCAGCATTTGGTCCACTGACCCTGTAATTTAGATAACGCATCACCATTCACACTGTGGCTGTAAGCAGAGCCCCAAGTAATGCACTCAACAAATGTTTGCTGGACGCTGGCCCTCCAGAAGGCATCAAAACCACTCCCCAATTTAGAGCACTGAGAGTGAGAGCTGCGAGAGGGACCAACTGGGAAATGGCAAAGTCATGATGAAGTCACCTCTCATCTCTCCCTGATAAAAACGCACTCCGAACATACACAGTACATGCCACACTGCAGACGGACACCTTCCCCAGAGCCAGCCAGTCAACAGTCTCTAAGAACAATCCCATCCACCTGCTTCCATCTCTTAGCAGGGGGAATTTTTCATATTTGGGTGTTTGGAATCAGAAAGCAAATAATATCCACTTGGATTCAAATTCACTAATTTGAAATTTGTGATAATTCTGTGATTAACAAATTATAATTGACCGTCAATAAAATAAGTCCTGCTAAGCCTGTCGACAGTGTGAGTAATATCATGACAGGTGGAGGGGTGTGCTCATTTATTTAACAGAGATTGCTTGCACTATGCGCTATGCTACATGAAAAAGAGACAGGCATGGATCCCTGACACCAATAAGCACTCAGGTTAGCAGGAGGGACAAACATTAAACAACAAATCATTCAGTTAAATGTTTAATTATAATTATGCTAAGTGCTGCAAGATGACAGGTATAGCCTATGATAAAGGGATTTAATGGGCGGACTTGGAATAGCCTGAGGAAACTGCTTCATCGAAGGGACACGTGAACTGGGCTCCGAAGCACATGCTGGAGTTAACCCGGTAACGATGAAAAGATGGAACTACAAAAGTCCAGGCAGAGGGAACAGCATGTTCAGAGGCCCTGAGGCAGGAAGTAGGGTGGCATGTTGAAGAAGCTGGAAAAAGACCAGGGCAGCTGGAAAGCCAAGCATGAGGGTAAAGATCGAACAAGGTGTGGATGGAAAGAGAGAATCTCTGTTAAGGAGATTGATCTTCATTCCTTAAAACTGGAAAGCCATTGAGGAATTCTAAGCAAGAGGTCAATATGAACAAGTTTGAGTGTTGAAAGCTGCCTCTTGGCACAGGGCAGGAATGGGCTCCTGCAGTGGTTCAAGGATCTGAGACAGCATTTTGGGACACATAGTGACCATGGAGATGGAGACCAGGGTAGAAGGAGGAGACCTTTGGAGGTGAAACTTATAGGACTAGAAAATGGATGTCATAGGGGAAGACATAGGGAGGAGGAGGAGGAAGTTAAAGGCGATGTCAGGTTTCTGGGGTCCCCAGGGAGAAAGCTGGCTTGCAGAAGGCTCATGGATTCTGCTTTAAACATGTGGGTTGGAAGGGCTGTGAGACAGGGGTACCGAGCTGCCTGGTGGATGGGAGGAGGCATGGCCTGCCCTGGTCACAGCCTCAGTGTGTGGATGCTTGCAGGGACCACGGTGTGGGGACAATCACCTGAATGGAGACTGTAGAGTGATAAGAGAAGAGGTTCCATGGCTGAGAGCAGAGGAAATCCAGCAGTCAAGGAAAGGAAGAGACTAAACATTCAGACAGGGAGGAGAGAAGAAAAGAGTCCAAGTAAAAGAGCATCTCAGGTAGACAGTGGCCACGGGTCTAGATTGCAACCTAGAAGTTAAGTCAGATGAAGAGCAAAAATGGCCCCTCAGAAGATCCATCAGGGAGGAGTGAGGGCCAGACACTAAAGGCCGAGTGCAACGGGTAAGGAAATAATGGAGGTAGGGAGGAGATAAGAAGCATTTAAGAGAACAGTCTTTGAAGGCCACAGACATAAATAGGAATTGACCAGGTCATGATTAAATATTGATGTTTATTTCTATGCATTCATTAGACCAGGTTCCAAGACCTTGTTTAGAGGATGGCCCTGCCATGTGCACTGTATCTTCCATCATGCTGTCTGAAGGGGACATGCCCTTTCACCGGCAAAGTGCTCTATGAGCAAGACTTTTCACCAGTTCAGAGTGGCTTCCTTCAAATTCTTCAAAGTGGTGAGCAAGACAGATATTTGCTGGCCTCTGGAAAATTCATTCCTGCAGCAATGTCAGTGAGTCCACAAGGCAACTGTCTGGGGGAAAGCCCAAGCACAGGGTGAGGTGTCCCCTAATCATTCACAAAATAAATGCCACCTTGTCCTTCTGCATCTCAGTCTCATCCATGTGTGGCACCAGGTGGGTTTCATTTTCATCCCTAAGTCAGATCTCAGTGGAGCTGCAGGCAGGGGTGTGGCCTTATTATTTAGAGTTCCAAATGGATTGATCTGAATTTTTCGGTAGGCCGTAAGACCCAGAGCCAGGAGTCTTTCTCAACAAAATTCCTATTATCTTTTCCCTTTTTATCTGTGTCTCAAAAAAAAATTTTTTTTTTGCCCTCCAGGAAAAAAAATGTCAGAATAAAGATAACCCAGTTCAGAGCATTACCACAAATGGTTATTGAGCTTCTATTTATTGAGCTCAGTATACAAAGGTGTACAAGACTCCCTTACTGGATTCAAGGAGCTTCCTTTCTAGTTAAAGAGAGAAAGCAGTGATTATCAGTTCTTGAAACATATGGATCATGATATATGAAGTGACAACACGGCTGAGCTATGGAAAAGGTAAACCCAGCATGCTTTGGGAACATGAAGGAGGCCCATCTAAGCCAGCCTGGGGAGTCAGGGATGGGTCCTCACCGTATGGTGGTAGACACAAAGCACCTCTGTGACTCTCCAAAGAAATAGACTCCACAAATTCAAGCTATTATGATTATTAATATTATTAATAAACTACCTTGAACTAGATTAATATCCAGGAGCTGCAAGCTGGGAAAGGTCTTGTGGAAACCCCAAAGGTCTGCATTTAGAATGTGCAGAGTGGATTTATTTTAATTAGTTCACTCTTCATTCTGAGCATTGTGAAAATCCTCCTGGGCAGCTTTTTGGTTCTTTTAGCTGTCAAAAGACTCAAGCCTCCTGCCAACAATGAATCCAATACTGTGCTGCCATTTGCCGAGTGGACTCAACTTTCACTTCTCCAGTTCTCTTTGCTGCAAAACCCAACTTATCAGTTCACTGGGAAAAGGCCATTGGGTCAGATTTTACTAGCAAAAGTAATTCACAGCTGGGTCAGTCAAATTAGAAAACTCAAAGGCTTAAAACAGGTTCTAAAAATGTCTTGGCCCATGGACAAATTAATGAACATTAGAAGAGACATAAACAGTCAAATATGCCTGTTTTTTTAGAATTTTGTTGCCCTCAAGTATGGATTCCTTTTCGTTTTTGAAGGCCAACTACAGTGTTGTATAACTGACATTTAAAGATACTTTGGGTTGGGCATGGTGGTTCAACCCCGTAATCCCAGCACTTTAGGAGGCTGAGGCAGACAGATCACTTGAGGTCAGGAGTTCAAGACCAGCCTTGCCAATATGGTGAAACCCCGTCTCTACTAAAGATACAAAATTTAGCTGGGCATGGTAGTGCACACCTGTAATAATCCCAGCTACTTGGGTGGCTGAGGCACAAGAATTGCTTGAACCCGGGAGGCAGAGGTTGCACTGAGCCAAGATCACACCACTACACTCCAGCATGGGTGACAGAGTGAGACCCTGTCTCAAAAAATAAAATAAAATAAAATAAAATAAAGATACTGAACTTCTTCACTGAACTTGCGCTTGGACCTTTGGTCAGTTGGGTTCCACTGAAATTATTTTTCTTCTTTCTAGATGGGCAGTGATGACACCAAATATAAGCACAAAAAGACATTTTAAAACTACAGATCCTAAAACCCAACACGGCAGGCTCCTGCAGCTTCCAGTGCTGTAACAGGTATGGAACTAACTCAACAGCAGCATGTAGAAACACCTTCTGTTTTTGGCCACTATGCTGAAAGGTACCATGGGGGCTGGGGGGAGAATGAGGTCAAGTTTATGACTGTCTCATCCGACCTCAGGTATATCAAATCAGAATTGAAGAAATTATCTGAGTAAAGGTAGGATAGTGGGGAGAGAGTGTCTCTTTTTCCTGAGGCAGAAGCAATGTGGTTATTTTCTGAATGCTCTGAAGATCAGTGAACATCCTTCACCACTGTTTGGAATGAGGATGTAAACCCAGGATTAGGTAGGGTTCTTCAGCCATAAGCCATAGAAGCAGAAACTGAACAAATGAGACAAAAATGCATATGTATTAAAAGAAAAATGGAAGTCTTGTAGACTCAAGGTGATGGCTAAAGTTCCAGGCTAGGAAGCATCAGGGACCAGGCCTAGCGAAAGCTCTACCACTGGCAAGGAAGCCTGAGCACACTTCTGTCCTTCTATGGCTCCAGGAGAATTGCTACAGTCTATGGGCCTGTCCTAGGTCTCATACCTGCTCTTGGCCCTGGGAAGCCTCTGCATTCACCTTGACTTTCAGCCCCACTAAGACTGAAAACCAAAGGGAGAGGATATTTCCCAAAAGGAATCAAGTGCTTTTTCTCAGAGGATGTAAGCTGAGTATTCAAAACACAAATAGCAAATACCTACTAATATGAAGATATGTTTAATTGGGTAAAGGCTCCTTACTTGACTCTATCTAAGCTTGTAAATTTAGGCCTACAACTAACCTGTTTTCATCTAAATGAAAGTGTAGAAAACCCCAATTCTCATTCAAAGTGTAGAAACCCCCAATATTACTGAATTCAGCCATTGCCAAGATCGGAATCCCAGCATTGAGGACACCAGGAGACTCCTGACCATTTTGATAGGATCTCAGGGTACAGAAAACCTGACTCACAGTGGTCAAAGCCACTCAGCTTCCATCAAACCCCACGCCAGCCTTGATAACACAGACTCGAGGGGGATGGTGCTGCCACGGGTTCACAGCTTAGCAGTGCTGACCTGGGCTCCTCACCCATCCACACTGCCACCCTCTGCAGGCTGGCCTTCAGTGGCCATTGCTTATCTCAGAGCTGCAAAGTGAATTCAGTGTTATGGTTGAGTCATGCACCCCCCAAAAGACTCTCATAACTTCGGAATGTGACTTTGTGGAAATAAGAGTGCTACAGAGGTATTATACTTAGTTAAGACGAGGTTATTAAGGTAGGCCCTAATCCAGTATGACTGGTATCCTTATGAAAAGGGGATATTTGAGTAGGGCACAGTGACTTATGACTGTAATCCCAGCACTTTGGAAGGCCAAGGCAGGCAGGTTACTTGAGCCTGGGAGTTCAAGACTAGCCTGAAAAACACGGTAAAACCCCATTTATACAAAAAATACAAAAATTAGCCAGGTATGGTATAGTGCACCTGTAGTCCCAGCTACTTGGTAAGCCAAGACGGGAAGATCACTTGAGCCCAGGAGGTCGAGGCTGCAGTAAGCCATGATTATGCTCCTACACTCCACCCTGAGTAACAAAATGAAAAAAAAAAATTAATAATTTAAAAATTTAAAAATTCTTTAAAAAGGAAAAATGTGGACACAAACAAACATAGAGGGAAGATGATGGGAAGACACAGGGAGAAGATGGCCATCCTCAAGCTGAGGAGAGAGGCTAGGACAGATTCTCCCCTACAGCCCTCAAAAGGAACTGACCCTGCAACACCTCTGTTTTGGACTTCCAGCCTCCAGAACTGTGTGACAATACATTTTCAATGTTTAAGCCATTGTTTGTCATGGCAGCCCCAGCAAAGAAATCAAGTAGTTTCTCGCTTCTTGTCTGCATTCAAGGCAGGAAGAACGGCACTGACAGAGCAGAGAGAGCAGGAATTATTCCTTTGACCAGAAAGGCAGGAACTTTCACAGACTGTTGGCTGCTTCCATTGCTGTGACCACAGGCATGTCCCCTGGCCATGCTAGCTGCTTGGGAATCTGAAGACCGGAGCTTGTGTCTTCTACTGGGGAAGGTGTGAGCCCGGCCAGCCTTAGGGTCTCCTCTGCTCCCCACGCAAGCTGATGCTCTTTCCTTGTATGCAGCCTTCTAAAAAGTATATGCTGTCATGAGTGTGTGCTTTCCATGGAGCCAGAAGCCTGTCTTTCAAGGTAGGGCTGAGGAGCCTGTGCAGAGAGACCTTCCCAGAGCAGGTCAGTATCTCCTCATCAGCTCATTTAGTCCACTAGAACTCAGGTTCCATCCTTTCTCCAGCTCAGTTCTGTCGTTCACAGAAACAAGTGTGTCTGCTGATGAATCAACATTGGAAACTCACCAGAGTGCTGTGGTCAAGAGATGGAAACAACAAACCCCAATAAAGCCTGGCTTCCAGGGTGAAAGACAAACATCACTGACAGCCCGGCTGCTCTGAGCCTATGCCAGGATGCTACCCCTAACCTCCTGGAGCTTTGCAATGAGGCAACATGATCCCCACTCTAAAGAAACAAAGAGAATTGTTGCAATCTCACAGCACACATGCAGATGAGAGAGATGTACTGAGGTGCCTGGCGGCCAGCCTGTGGTCCCTCATCAAGAGGACATGGAGCCAGATAGGACCTGGGGCTTCTGACATGCAACTTGGCCTCCCTGATGGGACCACCTTCACTGTCCATCTCCTGGAGCAATAGCAGTGACTAAGGCCAGCCAAGCAAAGAGGGAAGAGCGTCGCCTGCTCAGCTCTGCTGCTGTGAATGGGAGTTGTCTGGCAGTGTTTGATCTGCCAGATGAATGCTTAGCAGCACCCTGTCAAATATCTGCTGTCTTAGACACCCCTCACTTGCGTCCACTCTGCGATCCATACATGCTATTTTATGTAACTTTTAATGTACCCATTCTCTTATCCCCTGCCCCAGGCTGGGCAATGTTCTAGGCAATGGGAGGTATGTGTCCCAGGTAGAGCAATAAGTATTCCAGAAGGCAGCAGCACCTGCAGACAGGATCCACAAGAGAATGCCATGCAGCACCATGCACCCATCAGGATGGGTACTATGAAAAAAGAAAAAAACAAAGCAGAAAATAACAAGTGTTGGTGAGGACATGAAGAAACTGGAACCCTTGCACACTCTTGGTTGAAATGAAAATTGATGCAGCCACTATGGAAAACAGACAAGAAGCTCCTAAAAAAAATTAAAAATAGAACAGCCATATAATCCAGCAATTCCACTTCTGGGGATATACCAAAAATAATTGAAAGCAGGACCTTTGGGAGATATTTGCACACCCACATTTGTAGCAACATCATTCACAATAGCTAAAAGTTGGAAGCAACCCAAGTGTTCATCAGTGGAGGAATGGATAAGCATATGTATATATACATATGTACACACACAATATATATATATACACATACATAGACACACTATATATATACATACATATACACACAATATATATACATACCTATAGACACTATATATATACACATACTTATACACACACAATATATATACACACATGCATATACACGCAATATATATATACACATACATATACACACAGTATATATATACACATACATATACACACTATATATATACACATACACACAATATATATAAACATACATATACATACAATATATATACACACAGTATATGTATATATACCTACACATACACACTATATATATATACATATACACACAATATATATACACATACATATACACACGATATATATATATACACACACATATACACACTATATATATACACACATACATATATACACAATATATATACACATACAGACATACTATATATACACATACATATACATACCATATATACATATACACACCATATATATACACATACACACTATATATATACACACATACATAACACATACATATACATACAATATATACATACACATATACACACAATATATACATACATATACACACAATATATATACATATACACACTATATATACACATACATATACACTCTATATCTATACACATACGTGTCTATATATATATCATACACACACACATATATATATAGTGGAATATTATTCAGCCTTGAAAATGAAATTCTGGCACATGCTATAATATAGATAAACCTTGAGGACATCATGCTAAGAGAAATAAACCAGTCACAAAAAGACAAATACAGTATGATTACACTTTCTGAGGTTCCTGAAGTCATCAAATTTATAAAGATAAAAAGTTGAATGGTGCCTTCTAGCAGGAGGGGGAAATGGGAAGTTGTTACTTAATGGGTGAAGAGTTTCAGTTTTGCAAGATGAAAGAGTTCTGGAGATTGACTGCAGGATAGTATAAATATACTTAACACTACTGAGCTGTATCTTAAAATTGATTCAAATGAAAATTTTTATATTGTGTGTATTTCACTACTTAAAAAAAAGAAGGTGCTATAACAGAGGTAAAGAAGAATTAGGGAGACCCCAGGGATGTAGAGTTGGGCAAAAGGGGCATGTTGCTGGAGCCCAGTCAGAGACTGGCGGAGGGGCCATAGCTACAGAGGACTGGGGTCCCCATGTCACAGCAAGACAGGAGGGCTGGAGAAATGCCAGGGATGCTGACTTCCCCTCCCTCCAGGCTCCTGCAATCACGTCCACTGCCCACCCCCACAGGCTAGTCCCAGAGGTAAGGGGCCCAGGCAATGCAGACTCTGGGCACCGTATCCTCTTGGGGCAGTTCTGGGTTGAGGAGCAATCAGTGATAAGACAACGTAGCAGTCCCCGCATGCCTTCCACTGACAGTCTAATCATGGGTAAACCACAAAGATGTAAACTGAACCTTAGATCATGCTCAGTACCATGAAGAAAATAAACCATGCACAGAGAGAAAGATGAGCAAGGAGGGAAAGCTCCATGGAATATCAGGGAAGGGCTCTGCAAAAACACCACTGCTCTTCAGGCACTGTATGGGTCCAATTCTGCAGAAGACCAGAACCAACAGAAAATGTTGGTACAGAGAGAGAGCAATCTATTTTAAGAAACTGGCTTAAGTGACTGTGGAGGCTGACAAGTCCGAAATGGGTATAGCTGGAGACCCAGGAAGAGTTGATGACACAGCTCCAATCCAAAGATGATCTGGAGGCAGAAATTCCTCTTCCTCAAGGGTTTGTCTTTTTTTAAGCCATTTTATTGAGGTATGATTGGCATACAAAAAGTTATATGTATTTAATGTGTACAACTTGATGAGTTTGGAGAGAAGTATGCACCCCTTGAAACCATCACCACAATCCATGCATAAACCCATCCATCACCTCTAAACATTTCCTCCCACCCCTTTTATTCATTATTTTTGTCTGTATGTGTGATAAGAGCATTTAACATAAGATCTATCCTCAGCAAATTTCAAGCACACAACCCAGTATTGTTAACTACAGACACCTGCTGTACATCAATCTCCAGAACCAATTCATCTTGCATAACTGAAACATCTCATCCTTTGACAAATAACTCCCCACTTCCCCACTCCACAGCCTCTGACAATCCCCATTCTACTCTGCTTCTGTGAGTTTCACTATGGCAGATTCCTCGCGTAACTGACATCATGCGTATTTGTCTTCCTGTGACTGGGTTGTTTCTCTTAACATTAGGTGCTCCAGGTTCACCCATGTTGTCACAGATTTCAAGATTTCCTGCTTTTTTAAGGTGGAATAATTCTATTGTATGCATACACCACATTTTCTTTATCCATTCATCCATGGATAAAAATTTAGTTTGCTTCTGTGTCTTGGCCATTGTGAGTAATGAACATGTGGGTGTAGATACCGCCTTAAGACCTTAATTTCACTTCCTTTGGGCCTGTACCCAGATATGAGAATGCTGGATCAGATAGTAGTACTAGTTTTAATTTTTTGAGGAATCTTTATACTGTTTCCCACAGTGACTACATCAATTTACATTTCCACCGACAGTGTACAGGGTGGTGTACACTGTTTCCCTTTTCTCCACATCCTTACCAACACTTGTCATCTTTTCTTTCTTTGAGAATAGCTATCCTAGCAGGCACGATGTAATATCTCCTTGTAGCTTTTATTTATTTATTTATTTATTTATTTATTTATTTATTTTTCAGATGCAGCTCTCAAGTAGACCACAGTGAGGTATATTTATGCCTTATGCCTATAACTTAATTTTTAGGCTTCACCGTGATACATTTGCATTTCACTTGGTGATAATTCCTTAGTAATAAGGTATGATGAGATTTTAAATATTCTCTTGATTTGAGAAAACAATGAACAGACTAAATATAAGATTTAAAAAGTTAAATTACATTCTAAGTCTTAGTTGCTTAAATTAGGAGGAGTTTTAAATCTTGTTAAAAACTATGGAAATCTAGGTCTTGTATGCAGGCAGGCATATTTTTTGAGACAAAGATCTTTTTGAGAAAAAAAATACCAGCCTTTCCTAAATTGTGTAATATAATATATACACAATTTTACAGTCAACTTCAGGACCTACATTTACCCACCTAAGCCCATCTAAGGAATCCCAAGTGTATGTTAATAGTTGCTAGTGAATGTTTGGGTTGTTCCCAGTTTTTAGCTATTATGAATAAATGCTGCTATGAAGATTATTTTATGTGTGTTTGCCTCACATATATACACATTTGTGTTATGTACATACCTAAGGTAGAATTATTGCCTTATACATTTTCAAGAATGCTTAATTGTGTAAATTTTTGCATATGTGTACATTCAGCATTAATAGACATTGCCAATCAGCTTTCAATAGTGGTTATATGTATTTACATTCTCTTTTTTTTTTGAGAGTTCTAAAAGTGTTTATTTGTTTACTTGTTCTGGATCTGAGTTCAAGTCCTGGATATTCTTGTTAATTTTCTGTCTCGTTGATCTATCTAACATTGATGTTGAAGTCTCCCACTATTATTGTGTGGGAGTCTAAGTCTCTTCGTATGTCTTATGTATCTGAGTGTTCCTGTATTGGGTGCCTATATATTTAGAATCGTTAGCTCTTCTTGTTGCGTTGATCCTTTTACCATTATGTAATGACCTTCTTTGCCTCTTTTGATCTTTGTTGCTTTAAAATCTATTTATCAGAGGCAAGAATTGCAACTCCTGCTTTTTATTTATTTATTTATTTATTTATTTTTGCTCTCCATTTGGTTGGTAAATCTTTCTCCATCCCTTTGTTTTGAGTCTTTGTGTATCCTTACATGTGAGATGGGTCTGGATGCAGCATACCGATGGGTTTTGGTTGTATCTTTTGATTGGGAGATTTAGTCGATTTAGATTTAGGATTAATAATAATATATGTGAGTTTATTCCTGCCATTTTATGTTAGCTGGCTGTTTTGCCCATTAGTTGATGTAAATTCTTCATTATGTTGATGCTTTTTGCTTTTTGGTATATTTTTGGAAAGGCTAATACTGGTTGTTTAATGCTTCTTTCAGAAGCTCTTGTAAAGCAGGCCTGGTGGTGACAAATCTCTGAGTACTTGCTTGTTCACAAAAGATTTTATTTTTCCTTCACTTGTGAAGCTTAGTTTGGCTGGATATGAAATTCTGGGTTGAAAGTTCTTTTCTTTAAGGATGTTGAATATTGGCCCCAACTCTCTTCTGGCTTGTAGGGTTTCTGCTGAGAGATCTGTTGTAAGCCTGATAGGCTTCCCTTTGTGGGTAACCTGACCTTTCTCTCTGGCTGACCTTATTATTTTCTCCTTCATTTCAACCCTGGTAAATCTAATGATTATGTGCCTTGGGGTTGCTCTTCTTGAGGAATATCTTTGTGGTGTTCTCTGTATTACCTGGAGTTGAATATTGTCCTGCCTTGCTAGGTTGGGAAAGTTTTCCTGAATAATATCCTGAAGGGTATTTTCCAGATTGGATTTATTCTCTTTGCTGCATTCAGGTACACCTATCAAATGTAGATTAGGTCTTTTCACATAGTCCCATATTTCTTGGAGACTTTGCTCATTCCTTTTTATCCTTTTTTCTCTGATCTTGTCTTCTCATTTTATTTTGTTAAGTTGGTCTTCAACCTCTGATAACCTTTCTTCTGCTTGATCAATTCGGCTGTTAAAACTTGGGCATACTTCGTGAAGTTCTCATGTTTTTCAACTCTGTTAATTCACTTATATTCCTCTCCATATTGTCTATTCTCGTTAGCATTTCATCAAACCTTTTTTCAAAGTTCTTAGTTTCTTTGCATTGGGTTAGAACAAGTTCTTTAACTCCCAGAAGTTTCTTATCATCCACCTTCTGAAGCCTACTTCTGTTAATGGAACACACTCGTTCTCCATCAAGCCTTGTTCCGTTGCTGATGAGGAACTGTGATCCTCTGCAGAGGGAGAGGCATTCTGATTTTGGGTATTCTCAGCCTTTGCAGGCTGGTTTCTTCCCTTCATTATAAATGTATCCATCTGTCATCTTTGTAATTACCGACTTTCTAATTAGGTTTCTGAGTGGACGTCCAAATTGTTGATTCCCAGCGCTGGAATCTGAGCAACCCACTGTGCCAGCTAAAACAGTGGCATTAAGATTGATGGTGGTTTTCTGCCTGGGAGTCTCCAGTCTGGCTTCCTTCTTGAGTCCATCCTTCAATCAGCTGAATAGGCAACTCTGCCTTCCCAGAGCTCCAAACATCAGCTAAAAAGGGGACCAGTCCCGTTTACTCTGCACCAAGAACCACCGTGCCGAGGGGCTGGCAAAACTGCAGCACCAGCCGCAAGAGTCACGCTGGCAACCCATGGGGCTCCTCCACTGGGAAACTCCTGGTCCATGAGCAATACAAATTCATCTGAAAGTGTCCTCTCATTCTCTGCATTTTCACTGGGAGCTACAATCCCGAGTTGCTAGTGATCAGCCATCTTGGATCTCTCTTCCTCCTTGTAGCTTTTATTTGCATTTCCCTGATGGTTAGTGAAGGTGAGCACCTTTTTATATACCTGTTTGCCATTTCTATGTCTTCTTTGAAGAAATATCTGTTCAGTTCCTCTACCCATTTTTAAATCAGAAGCTTTTGGGTATTGTTTTGTTTTGTTTGTTATTCAGTTATAGGCATTTCTCATGCATTTTGGATATTAACCCTTTGCCAGATATGCAGTTTGAAAACATTTTCTTCCATTTCATAGAATACCTTTTCATTTTTGTGATTGTTTCCCTTGCTGTGCAGAAGCTTTTGAACTGATGCAATCCCAGTTGCCTATTTTTGCTTTTGTTGCCTGTGACCTCAGTCTTTTTACTCTTAGGGCCTTCAGCTAATTAAATGAGAGCCGCCTGCCTTACAGGTGATAAAGTGCTTTCCCTAAAGTCTGCTGATTTTAGTATGAATCACATCTAATAAATACCTTCACAGCCATAGCTAGACTGATCTACAATCCAGACGTATAGCAGGCTAGCCACGTTGATAAGTAAAATTAACCATCGCAGGCACCATTTTCCACCTGGATGAGCACATATTCTTGCATAGACCTGGAAACCCTGTTCACACCCTGCACTTTTTTCTTTTGCAGAGAAAAAAAAATCCCCACTTTACAATTACATCTGGTCAATGAGAAGCTCTAGTTTTGTGGGAAGAGGGAAACACCTAGCCTTGCCAGAATCATCACCAGAAGCGCCTGCCGGCTGAAGAGGACAGCTTTCCTGGAGACAACAGATGATGCAGGGAAACAAGAAGTGCACAGACGGGTTCAGCGACTCCTCCAGCATCGGCAGTGTGTTGGATGATGCAGACAGAGAGGTGAGCAGCCTCACAGACCGGGCGTTCCGGAGCCTATGCATCTCAGAGGACACATCCTTCCATGACTCTTACCTGGCCGTGTCCCCAGATATCAGCCAACAGGTGTTTGGGACTCTCCAGCAGAGAACAGTGAGCCACACCCAGAGGAAAAGTGGCATTTGGAGCCAATTACCATCACAGGGCACAGAACATTCGGGCTGGGCAGCCACCTTCCAACAGCTGCCCAAGTACGTTCAGGGAGAGGAAAAGTACCCCAAAACCAGCCCCCCACCAACACCAGTCCAGAGGAGACTGGAGGTGCCAGTTTCCGGTCTCCGGAGCAGCAACAAGCCTGTATCCAAAGTATCAACACTAATTAAATCTTTCGACAGGACCGAGACCCAACGTTGTGAGAACAGAACCACTACCAGCAAGCCTCCGGCTCTGAAAAATCCCCCCAAATTTGCCCCTCTTCCAGAAAGCAGTGTCAACTTCTGCTTTGATTCTGCCTTTCTGACAGTCAGGAGGGTGCCCGCTGAAGTTTCCAACACCCATCAGAACAGCCAGCAGCCCAGCAGAAAGCACAGAGAACAAGAGTCCCCCAAGAATCCAGAAATGGCCTGTCACGGCTCCAGCAGCTTCCTCCCGGCTCCAGCCAGTGACGTGACCTGCTCATCTGAGTCAAAGTTCCCCTCTCCACACCACAAGCCAGCCACTGGTGAGCCTGGGAGAGGCAAAGGCACCTTTCTGCACAGTGAAAATAGTGCTTTTGAGTCGTGGAATGCCCACCAACCAAAGCTGCTGGAGAGAAAGGACGCAGCTGGAGCAGTCCCAGAAAGAAAAGCTCCCAAGTACTATGGGGATGCGACCTTGCTAAGAGAACCCTGTCCTCCTGAGTGCACAGTCTCTCCCTGCCAGGTCCAGGCCCACTGCGGTCAGGAAGAGAACAGAGTGGCAGCAGGAGCTCTGTCCACATCTGTACCCTGGGGGTGCAGGGATCTAGGATCCCAGGTATTTGCTGTGGAAGGAAAAGCTCCCAGCTCACAGCCTGATTCTCAAGAGAAGCCAGCCCAGCCCCCATGGAGGAAACAAAAGACTGGCAAGAAAGGGAAAGAAAGTCTACAAGATGCATCAGAAGAAAAGACACAGACCAACAGGAGAGGCCCACCTTTGTATACAAAACACAACCCCCAGGGACAGTTTTCAGAAAATGATGCTCTTGACCTGCCTGTGGAACCCAATGAACATTATGATCCCCCCTTTAACATCAGTAAGCTCCTGACCCCCATCATACCCAACAAGCATGCCCTGGATTCAGCAGAGAGCCAGCCGGCAGAGGGAACCCCATCACCCCCAGGACAGCTAAACGGATACCAAGAGAAGGAGCCCAGTGAATGTCAATCTCGAGACAGCTACAAGTCCAAAGCCCCTAGCCTGCTGTTCAACCTCAAGGATGTGCGGAAGCGTGTTAAGAGCACATACAGTCCTTCACCTCTCTTGAAAGGGCTTGATGAGAAAACCAGAGGTAAGGTTGACGGAAAGCAAGAACCCATAAGCAATGGTGTCATCCTCCCCAACGGGCTTGAGGAAAGCCATCCAAACCAGATTTCTAAGGAGAGACCTGCCAATGACCCCACTGCATCGCACATCAATGCCCAGAAGGACCCTACGGATGACCCCAGTGAGCCCTCTGCAGACAGCTATCTAACCCTCAGCACAGCTCCAACTATCACCAAAGCCCCCTTCTATGTCAATGGGGAGGCTGCTGAGAGAAGCAGTTATGAGAATGAGGAAGCGGAGCGAGAGTTGGAGATAAGTCCCGCTGGGTCCAGCTGGTGTCCAGACTCCAGGGAACGCCGCTCCAGGAATCACCTCTCCCTAAGGCTTTGCAATAGGGATCCTGAACCTGGAGGGGCTACTGAGAAAATGAAGACCCACCAGTTAGAGAATGGGCTCTCCAGATCTGTGTCCCAAGAGACAGAACCTGAGAGGGAGGCAGGACTTCAGAACACACACTTGAACCAGAAATTCTCCCCAGGGCCCCTCTCTCCTGAGGAGGAAGATGTGTTTTACAGTGACAGCCAATCCGATTTCATGCCGAGCCTCCAAGGTAAGGCCAAATTCAGCACCAGCTCTTCAGATCAATCCTTTGCCTCATTTGATGATCAACAGAAGACATGGTTTACTGAGAACCAGCAGGAAGACAGGAGGAAGGACGTGAGTGCAGGTGACAGTCAGAAGGATGAGAAGGAAAATGTGATGGGGAAGGATGAGCCGCAGTACTGCGCCTTAAGCAAAGGGCATTCATGCCTGGAAGAGCGCAGCCAGGGGGAAGCATTGCAAAGAGAAGGGGAACATGTGTCTGGAGGAAGAATCAGGAAGGCATCAGCAGAGGAAGCTAATTTCAGAGGCTCTCAGATTGGAGGAAATAAGGGTACAACCTTTTCACAGGCTAAAGACCTTACCCCCTCCCCATCTTCTGCTTCAAACAAGCACATGCTGTTTACGATTAAAGACAACACCCTTAGAGTCACCCCCGTAATTAAACCTATCATGCTGCCTCTCCTGAGGACCATGTCCTTGGAGGACTCCCTCGGCAGTGGCCACAAAGAGGAGGAACTGTCAAGGCCAGAATGGGGTGAGGATCCTGGGTTCTGTGTCCCTGAAAACCAGGACATTCTTGGTACATCGACACCCACTAACACAAAGGGTACACGTGTGAAGTGCATGGCCAATGAGGTCATGGGGGACCCCTGGCAGGGGTCCAGCACAGCCAGAATGGAGGCCTCTCAGCCAGCCCCAAAGGGCCCATCTATGCCTCTGGTAGGAGACGGGGACAGGGTGAAGTCACCCCCAGATGCAGCATACAGCGTCATGGCAAGCAATGGCAAGAGCAGTTCCACAGACCCAGGGAAACCAGCAGCCCCACAGCACATCCCCACCATCGCTTTACCTGAGGGCGACGAAGAAGACCAGCCACCCCCGTGGCAGCCTGAATCCTGTTGGGAACAGCAGACACCAGGTTTCAAGAGTCATTTTTTGTCCACACCCAGAGCAGGCCCTGCTGGCAGAAGACCGGTACCTGGTGAGGCGGTGAATTCTCCCAATTCCAGCTCCGTAGGGGAGAGCAGCGCCTGCTCCCCTGCCGCCAGCAGCATTTGGGATGAGGCTTCCCAGGCCCCCAGAGAACTGGAGCTGCTGCCCAAGGAGCCTCCTCAAGCCAGCACCTGGGCCAGCCCCAGTCCTGCCAGGGTCACCCAGAGGGAGGACCTGACCCATGCCCTGGTGTGGGAGGGCAGCTCTGACCCCCAACTTGAACTGCTGGAAGAAGACCTCCGGACACTCTCTCCAAGAGGTTCCTTGCTGGATGTGGCCACCAGCCCAGCAGGCGCCCGTGGGAGACTTGAGCTTCCTGCACAGCTGGAGAGGGCGGCAAGCAAACCACCTGCAGTCCCACCCAAAACAGAGAAAGCCCTGCGGCGGGCGAAGAAGCTGGCAAGCAAGAGGAGGAAGACTGACCAGACAGAGGAGAAGCATGGCAAGCCACAGGAGGGAAAGCTGTGCCCGGAGGACTTGGAGCAGGCAGAGCAAAGGCCACTGTGTCCCAGAGAGAGGCCCCGACACAGTTTCCCTATGGTCCGTTCCCTGCCCCCTCCCGTGCACCGACACTCTGTGTCCAGCTTCTCCGAGTCTGTCGGGAGACGGCCTGGGGGCCCCCAGTCCCTCACACCCCTGCCCACTTACCCCGCCACCCAGAAGGTCCTCCAGGATCCGCAGTCCGGGGAGTACTTTGTCTTCGACTTGCCACTCCAGGTGAAAATCAAGACCTTCTATGACCCAGAGACGGGCAAGTATGTCAAGGTCTCCATCCCATCCTCTGAGGGGACCTCCCCAGAGCCGCCCCCACTGGATGCCCTTGCTGCTCCTTATGTGCTGTACCCTGGCTTCCAGCCGGTGCCTGTGACAGCCTTGATGCCACTGCGCTGTTCGTCTCAGCTCTCCGCCCCCACCTTCCTCAGGCAGGGCCCTCGCGCCTCTGTGGCCCACACCAGGCCCCAGAGTGTCCACGAGGCTGGACTACAGCTGACCCCAGAGCCTCATGGTGACTGCACCCTGCACTCTGCCGGCCAGCGCCCCCATAGGCCTCCCCAGAGCCCAGGAGAAGAGGGCGCAGAAGCTCCAGGCCTGAGCATCATCTCCACCGAAGACCTAGAGGACTTTGCCACAGAAGGCATTTCTTGAGTTACTGCAGACTGACCTCTACCCTCAGATGAACCCAGAGGAGCTGACTTCCCCCTCCCCCAGAACAAGGAACACACACACACACGTGCACACTCGCACACACACTCACACGCATGCACGCTCAACATACTTAGCCTTTTTGGATCCCTAAGTCCAGAAGGCAGTAGGGATCCCAAGACGACCTCACCCGAAGGGCTCCCGGGCTCTCCTCTGACGGAGGGGCGCTGCTTGCTTGGCCTGGTCCCCTTCATGTCAGTTCCCAGGTGCACTCTACTCCAGCCCTTCTCCTTCGCTTCCTTCCCCCCTGTCCTGGCCTGCCCTGCTCTTCCCTGTCCCTGCCAACCAGGTGGGTGTGGCAAGGCCACCACCTGGTCCTGAGGGTCCCTGTGCACCCACACCCACCCACTCACTTGTAGGCTCCTTGGTGAGCAAACCCCTGAGGGCCCCAGCTCAGACACAGCAGCCCTTTCAGGTCACCTCAAGCAGACTGGCTGAGGACCAGCCCAGGGCAATCTTGCAGAAATTATTATTTGAATAGAATGGGTTTCCTTCACAGGGAGAAACTTGCCTATGAAAGCTATTTTCTGATCAAGAAAGGGCCACTTTTTAAAAAGTGAAACAAGTTTGCAGATAAGGTTCTGTCCCTGGACTCCTGTCTTCCTTCTGTGGGCAGTGGGGTTCAGGGTTGACAGAGCCACCTCCCTGTCTTCCACAGCCTGGCATCTCACCTTGTCACTTCAACACCTGTCCATGCCTTTGCAGGGCCAGGCCCTCCACTAGGTCCTGCCCCATTTCAGTGACCAGTACCTGTGCCCTGCACTCAAAGGGAAATTGTGTTCTCACCCTCTCACCCCTGCCAGTTCCTGACCTTGGGGATTTGGAGAGAAGTATCGAATTAACCCAAGAGTCTGAGAGTTTTACCTAGTGAAACTGGGGGCCACTGCCCAGCACAGTAAAGCCAAAATCCACACTGAAGTCTGTAGTGGAAGAAAGGAGGGTGTTTATTTGCAGGCACCAAGCAAGGAGAATCAGGCAGCTCACACTTCAAACCTGCTCCCCAGTGGCTTGCAAGCATGGATTTTTAATGGCAAGGGAAATTTTTAGGAAAGCAGAAGTTCCAGGTGAAATTGTAAATCAGTACATGGAGGGTACATAGTGGTTTGGCCTAAAAAGGCAGGATATCTTGAATCAGGGGCTTATGGGTCATAGGTGGAGTCCAAAATTTCTGGAATTGCAATTGGTTAAGGAAGAGAAGCTTTGTTTAAAAATGTGGGTTAGCAGAAAGGAATGTTAGCTCTGGCTTGTTGGGGGGACTTTCCCCAAGCCCCCCAGGAAGAAATTTAGAACAAAGAGCCATGCTCCAAGTTCAGTCCTCAGCTCCCTATTATCTGAGGTCTCTGTGCCAGTGGATCCGTATGGTAGAGTCTGGGTTTCTGAAAAACCACTCAGAGACACCTATTCAGATGTTCTCTTTAGTTTCCAGAGGGACCCAAACATCCCACGATTCTAGCTTACTTGGCTGTTCTTTTAGGTTACTATTACCTTCCTGCTTATCAAGTTGCTCATTTGCTTCTCAGGGCTAGCTAGGTGCTTGGAATTTCTCTTGAAGGAGTCCAAGATTTTCCTGTATTTCCACAGTTGGGGAGGGGTCCCTGCCTCATCTCAAGAGCAGGTGCCCACTTTCAGGCAGCCGGTTAGGAAGGAACCGAGCACCCGGGGTCCTGGTAGATTTCCACGCCACAGCTTCGACAGAAGCCTCTTAATTCTTGTTCTACTGGAAACACAGGGCCAAAACGTGCCTCCCTCCTTGTTTAGAAACCTCAGCAGCTGCCAGGACTGTGCTGCCCAGGGTCCAGGGGACCATGCAAGATGCATCGTCCTTGTCCTGTTGTTGCAAAGGTGCTGTTTCCACACTGGGAGGATAGGGAGGCATTCAGTAAACCAAGTCCCAGACTCACACAAATACAGGGGTTTTGAACACAGTTCAGGTCATCATTTGGATTCAAGATTTCATACCCAGTTGATTTCCCAACAAGTGTAGCCACACCTCAGGGATGACAATACCACATAAACCGCCACCCCCCATCAATGCCATTCAGTTTGGCCACACCTGTCACCAGCCAGGTGACCAGCCAGTAGTACAGGCAGACCACTGTCCCAAAATCTGGTTCCCATGAGTCACTCACTGGATGCACGCAACAAGAACAAAGTTGCATTTTGGCCCTAGCTCCAAATCACCTCAAGCATCCTCTCCACTTTGTTTTCATCTCACTAAAACATGAGAAGGAATATCTCATTTTACAATTCTCAGAATCCAAGGAAAAGAATGGCCTAACAAAGGAAGAGTCCCTCCGTTCAACAAGAACCACAGTTATAGTAAATATGTCCCCTCAGGGGAAAACATTACTTTGGGGACCTTATTTTGGGGAAGCAATCTTCTTCCTTAGAACTGTATCGACGGGGCTGTGGGCAGAGCTGGACACATAAAGACTTGCTCCCAGAAAGTCAGCTAGAAGGAAGCCTCGCTCCCTTACAGCAATAGGAAGTGTTCATGAAGCAGATAATGCCAGGGCACACAAGCAGAGAGAGTCTCCAGCCAGTGAAGCCCAACTCACTGGCCAGTGATGTTTTCTTCTTTCCCTTTGCTCCTGAGGGAGGTCATGTATACCTCCTTTCTTCTTCCTCACTCTCTCCTTCTCTTTCTTTCTTCCTTATTTCCCTCCCTCCTTCTCTCTCTTTCTTCCTTCTTTCCTCCCTCTTTTATACAAATGTTTGCTCTGTGCCAGGCACTTCGATTGGCGCTGATGGTACCATGACAATAAGATCTGGTCTCTCTATTCAAGGAGTTAAAATCTAACAGAGAGAGAAGACAATCACAATCCCGCATATTAAGTAATTTAATGGGTTGCTCTAAGGAGCACCTAACTTGGTCTGGCCTCAGGAGTTGGCACCTGAACCAAGTCAAAAAACACAAAGCTTTCCATTAATTTATGAAAAAAAATCAGAATTTCCCCAGCTATAATCTATCAAAGATGACATTGATTAAATACTAATAGAGTTGTCTTGCCATATCAAAGGGTATTCATTCAGCTAATTTTTCATCAGCATTTCTAATCAGCACAAAAGCTGAACCAGTGTAGCCTCACAGGATAGACCTTTATTGATAGGTCCTTCAGCTTCTGAACTGATATTTCACTCACGGGGTTGCCCAGAAAAATCACTATTTCTAGCATTGTGTTTACTGGGACAGTGGTAAGATTTATGAGAACATGTTGTTTGTGGAAATTACAGATGTTGTCTGCATCTTCTGTGTAATGCCCTGGCCCTCTTCTGTGAGTATGACCCCTCTAAATGTCTCCTGGGGAGAGGGCATGGAGGTGGAACACCTCCGGGGAACAGTTGAAGGTCCCAGGCTGTTTAGCTAAACATGACCAAGGGCTCACATTATCAAGCATGTACCATGTTCTGACCCATGAGTGGAGAGCTTGAGCCTGGACTGGGTCCTCCCAGTAAACCCATCAGAGATGCCCTCATTAGCCTCATTTTACTGTAATGGAAACAAAGGTGACAGGATGGGATATAACTGCCCATAGTCACAGAGCCACTAAGTGAGGGGCCACACCAGAGACTTGGGCCCCTCTTATTTCTAGGTGGACTCTTTAACCCTCAGCCAATGCTTTGTAAGCGTGATCCCTGGAGCAGCAGCCTCCACATCACCAGGGGCATGTGAGAAGTCCAGAATCCCAATCTCCATCTTCACAAGCTTCCACAGGTGGTAGATCCATTTGTGCATTGAATTCTAAGTGCTGTCAGCCTCTGCTCAGCCTGGATAAATTTTGGGGTGGTGCACTGGATGTCGTCATGTCTCTACAGCATTGTTTTGTGCAAAGGAAAAAAAAGCAGCACGTCTAGATGGGGGAGTTGCAGGAAAGCTGGTTGACACTCAGAGTGAGAAAGACATCTCTGAGGATGAGCATCATCTTTTTTTTTCTTTTTTTGAGACAGAGTCTTGCTCTGTTGCCCAGGCTGGAGTGCAGTGGCACGATCTCAGCTCACTGCAACCTCTGCCTCCAGGGTTCAAGCAATTCTCCTGCCTCAGCCTCCTGAGTAGCTGAGATTACAGGTGTGCACTATCGCACCTGGCTAATTTTTGTATTTTTGATAGTGACGGGGTTTCGCCATGTTGGCCAGGCCGATCTTGAACCCCTGACCTCAAGTGATCCGCCCAGTTCGGCCTTCCAAAGTGCTGGGATTACAGGAGTGAGCCACCACACCCAGCCACCAGCACCATCTTGACATTGTGTCAACTGCTGGGGATAGCTGAGCTCCCGCCACTGGAGACATCCAATGGAAGCTGATGACCCCTTTCCTAAAACAAAGATGGACTCATATCAGAAGGGACCTAACTATCTTTTGGAACCCCAGGCTACTTTGGGGTCCCCAGTATGCCAGTGGCAAAGATGCGAGGTCTCAACAGGGGGTGGTCATAGACACATGATGGAAAACATTTGCATAAAAAAGGGAGCTCTGTGGCAAAACCTGAATTCTATGCATGTGGAAAACATTTTGGCCCAGATACACCATAAAGTTGGACACAGCTGTTTATACAGGTCTTCCAAATCATTCGGATATGAAGTCCAAGGTGACTGGAGCAAACTCAGAGCCACATCCCCCAGCTTGTCACCACCAGAGCCTTGTTTAGGCTTCCTCAGTGTCACCACGCAGAGCCACCTGAACAGAGGACTCTTCCCTTCCACCCGGTGGCTGTGTGGGCTCCTCCCTTAGCTCCCAGCTCCCAGCAGAATGCTGCAGGCTGCCTGGGCCTCAGAATCATTTACGCATTTGTTAACACCTGTTAGTCATGCAGGCCCTATTTCCAATTTACCTCATCAGATTCTCCAAGTGTGGGAAAGGGTCACTGCAGAGGTTCAAGTTCCCAGGAGGTTCCGGTTCACCCAGACTCTCAAACGTCACTCCAGAGCAGAGTTCCACACCTGAGCCCCACATACTGGCCAGGCACTGCCGGGCCCAGAGTTCTGTCCACGGACACCCTCCTGTGGAAGGTTATATGGAGGAAGGGCCTGGGGGGCAAGAAGAACTCAGAGGCACTGTTTTCTCCATGTGGAAGCTATGAATGGGGAAAGGCATGGCAGCTCTGGAGGGCCACCCAGGGCAGGGCTAGCCCTGCCCAGAGCCACCTTGCCTCTCTGCTTCCTGCTACCACACCTTCCCCTCCTCCTCCAGGTGTGCCCCAAAGCTCTATCAAGAGGCTACTCTTCCTCGGAAGGGAGGAGGAGGAGGGGCATTGTTAGAAATAAAGACTTCCCTTTGAAGGGAAGTTCAAACTTTTCCTCTGAAGGTTTCATAATTGCATCTGCTTAGACAAACTGACAATAGATTAAACAGAGAAAAGGCCTACAAATTTATTAACATGCAAGCCCAGGGGAGTCGCACGAAGTATGAAACTCTAAGAAGGACCAGATGGTTGAAGCTTAAATACCCTCTTCAGATGGGAGAGGGAGTTGGGGGTTGCAATTCTGAGGAAGAGTAAATGACTTTTTTAGGGAAGATAAATGGGCCTAAAGAACAGACAGCGGCCTAGAGCAAAGTCCCCTGGGTCCTGGGTGTCGCGTCCACTTCAGT